GTCTATTTGATGATGTCACTGCATACTAACAGATTAATGAAGTGTCTGTCAACCCTAAGGTACCTCAATTGCTCGTACTACTTGGAGTTTAGCAGTATACAGACTGGCAACTGGCCAGATAAGGCGAGTTTAGCGCATCGAACAGTACAGAATTATTATTCAACTTACTAAATCCTGCTTAGTTTTTACAATGTGCTACTGTATAGAAACAGACGCGAAATCTTATGAATGACTAAAGTAACAGTCTCGTAGTGCTACAGCGATTTCTCCATCTCAGCAACTAAGCTTAGCATTTATTAATCCGAATTCACATATTACAAGCGCCTATAGTAGAGTGACGCACTGAAGAACTCCAGAAGAAGTAGAAATTAAAATTATGTCGAACATTTCAGTAATTTACAAATGAAAATTCCGACGAAGGGTATTCGCGTTAGTTTGACCGATTGACATTTCCGCTGATTTCATATTTGACAACCTCCTTATGCCTACAGAATATAGCACATGCAAGGATTACCACAACACGAAGTTGTAAAAGGTAATTGTACATATTCGTATAGAAGATGAATACACTGACCATATTAATACTAAGTAAAATTCTCAAGCAAATAAAAATATTTGTCGTCCACGGGGGGTTCTAATATTGACGTCATACGCATAAACATTAGAGCATTATACGCAAATCTGAAGACAATCTCTGAAACATCCATACTGTTGGCGCGTCATTCCCTCATCAGGACTACTTGCAGATCAACTTCACACTAGTTACGTTTACATCAAAGGAAGTGTCGCAAATGTGTAACTTAGAAATTAATCCATAACATCAGTAATGTCTAGTGAATATGGTTTTACGAATCCTACAGAAATTAAATTTTCATATTTAGGAAACTATAGCCATCAAATATAGGCTGGACATGTCTCAACTATAAACAGCTATGCGGTGTATTGAATGAAATAATAAGGAAAATTAAACGGGTAATTGGCTTCTCCACAGCACTACACTAGTAGCAATCATGAAAACCACTTACATTTGTTGGCCCAGCAGTCAGCTAGGTAGACATTGGCACAATACTAATAAAGTAGAGACATTTTTTATACACGGAAAATACATAACCCATATTGCACTGCAAATATAGGTTCAATCCACCTTTCAGTTTACGATAATTTCTGTCCATGCACAGATAAGGTGAAAGGCACATATCATGATAACTTAATTAGGTTCCCACAGGAGGTTCCGTTAGCATTCACAGGTGACTTCTTTGTATTATTAACTTTCACTCGCCAAACAGTACCATTTTTCACACAAAAATATGCTGCATTGATATCCTGAGGCGTGAAATCTTCATCGAGTAGTGTTATGCCGAAAGGTGCAGCTTCTATATAAAGTAGACTGTTAGCGTAGATGACATTACCCTCCAACTATCCCAACTTGCTCATTATAGCGATATTTTGACAGTCCGCCTGAAACACTAATCATTACAACAGATATGCTAAGACTGTGCCTCAGCCAGACCACATAACACGGACATCAACATGGCTCACCAGTAGCAAGAATTTCTATCAATCCAGAAAACATATAACACAATTTTATAGACTTATTCACACAGAAAATTTACCAAACGAAATTCCATCCAACATACCGGATAAGTCCAGCCATTTCTAGCTGTTGATTGCATTCGATATGTATCAAGAAGAATAAAAATTTTGTCCTTCATATTTCTCCAAACTAACTAACCATAGGAACCAGCAACAGTCACAGCAACCACCAGAAGAAATAGAAAAGCTTATGACAGCAGAAATCAACGTGAAACATTTCAAGAACTGCACAACAGTTTTCCAATGGCAGGTGAAAAGTAACTAAAGCGCTGCAATGAAGCATGAAAGCAGCGTATCAAACGAGTACAATGAATGACCTAGTGGCATAAACTTTCGAAGAGAATGAAATAATCCATTTCAACGACAACGAAAACTGTAAAATGAATGTAAAAATGAACTCTAGTTAACAATCTTCATCCTGAATAACTGCAAATCAGCCCAGGACAAACCTAAAATCGGTGTATGAACAGATCATAGGCAAACAGCAGTTCAACAGGGCCGACTTAACTGTACGAATATGACCGAAGCCTGATAATTTTGAGCCTGCTTGACACTTTCAGTCCGCCAAGATAGCGACACTTGTTGCGAGTTTTAGTGGCTCCCTAACCATGATAAAAAAACAGCGCATAGTTCCGCTTTCTATGGCTGAAGTGACGGAGTAACTGGTGAAAAGCCTAATGTTGTTCAAAGTAGAAGTATTGTTACACAAAGTAGTCTCTTCGAGAATATAACTTATCCCATATATTTGCATTAGACGATCACATCTAAAAACTAAATGAGATCAACCTGAAGATCACAATATGTATTTTTCATGTCCGCTTCAAAAAATTAGTCTGGCTAAAATCTCCTCCCAGCGCTGCACTTATTTATCACGTACTGTTGAATTCCGCTTGGAAATTTTTCTTCCCCAATAATTTTTATAAAATTTTGTTATATGCTATCTACATTGAGGGAAATTCCCATTTCTTGCTAGTTATGTTGGTGTCCGCGTCATGTGAACAAACTGCAACACACTTTTAGTGTAAGAGAAAAAAAACTAGTATTGTAACACTAATCAATGTTTTATTTTCTCTACTTGCAGGAAGACACCAGGGAGTCAACTGCTTGGACGAGGAATTGCAGAACCCGAACATTAATGAAGCTCAGTAAAACTGTAATTCCCTAAAACTGTACCCCGACTTTTTAAAAAGTCCATTCTCGCCGAATAAACTCTTTCCTGTGCAGTTGGTGCTCTGCTTTCATTACGGTGTGCCTGCTGGTTGCCTGTTACAAATTGGTGTCGGAGGTGGTCCTTCTGCTATTAACATGGAAAAGTCATTCGATTACGGTCTTCCCAAGCTATTTCCAGAAGAAAGTGGTATCACCACACCGATGGTGCCCACGCTACCTCGTCCTCCAATGTTGCAATTGCCATCTGATTACCCCAGATGGAAAAAACGCGTTCAAGCATTCCTCAGTATTTCTCCACCAGCGCACCACTTCTTTCATATTCTATTACTATTCTGCTTTTATGACTACACCGAATGACCAACGAGAGTTAGGTCAAACTCCATTCACGGCAGCAATACAGTCCTAACATACTGCATACTACAAACCACATCTCGACCAATCCCCGCACCACTCCTCCTGGAGTCTACCAGAGCTAAAGCAGTCGAGTGTCGAGACTTACTACGCAGAAGCTCACCGAAGATCTGGAACCTCTACCTCATAATCAAGAAGCGAGCTCAAAGAAATCACTGGTTTATACTAGCTCGTAATCAGGATATTGGATCCTCAATGCCCTATCAGAAGATGCATTCGCACGCGTCGATACTGCCAAAAGTTCATGGACGAAAATTGGAAAATTTTGGATAATTGTTTTGATCTTCAATTGGGCTACGAACACGCCCTTCTAAAGTTCTTCAATCGCAGACAACTGCCTGATGAGAGCCCCCTCGATTACTTCCATGCCTTACAACTAATGGTGGCGAGTGTGGACAATAACGCGGATCCAGAATACAGAGACCGCATGCTGCGGACACGTTTTCTCGACGGGGTCTTGCCTGGTGACCTGCGCACAGACCTGCTACGCCAGCCCCCTACGAACACAATGGAATTACAACGAACCATCTTGCGCTTTATGAACATTCAGCGAGATATTACAGTACCAACCAGCAGCTTCCTCTACCCAGTTCCAACAGCATCATCTTCGGCTGCACTTACGACCGTACCAGCACCACGCCAACGCCGGTTCAATGCCCCACCACCAAATCAACCTTCAACGCCAACCACAGTCACTCCCAAGCAGCATGAGGACCCCAGTAAGTGTTATTACTGTCACCGGTTTGGACGGCGAGCATGGAAATGTGGGCACAATAGAAAACCACAAGGTGAGCGTTCCTCTAATGTGTCCTTATCTAGTAAATATTCGAAATCCCCCTTTTCCTTGAGGGCAAGCTCCAGGGCACAGACGTAACTTTTCTGATTGACACTGGGGCATCGTCCTCTGTTGTGCGCACGGCATTGGTTCAGAGACTCGGGGTCAAACCTAAACCTCTCCCCAATCCGCGTTATTGTCCACACTCGCCACCATTAGTTGTAAGGCATGGAAGTAATCGAGGGGGCTCTCATCAGGCAGTTGTCTGCGATTGAAGAACTTTAGAAGGGCGTGTTCGTAGCCCAATTGAAGATCAAAACAATTATCCAAAATTTTCCAATTTTCGTCCATGAACTTTGTGCTGCTGAATCTGGCAGTATCGGCGCGTGCGAATGCATCTTCTGATAGGGCATTGAGGATATGAAGGAAGTGGTGCGCTGGTGGAGAAATACTGAGGAATGCTTGAACGCGTTTTTTCCATCTGGGGTAATCAGATGACAATTGCAACATTGGAGGACGAGGTAGCGTGGGCACCATCGGTGTGGTGATACCACTTTCTTCTGGAAATAGCTTGGGAAGAACACGCCATTATATTATGGTAAGGTAAGCCTAAAATTTTACTGACTGTAAATTTCCGTGTCAAAATAAAGAGATTGGCGCTTTAATTTATATTTTAGACCAATAGAAAGCCAGCTAGCCAACAGCCAATGAAAACTACCTTTATCTATTTTCCTAAGATGTACGCTAAATGACACAAACTGGGAACTTTTCAACGAACACACGCTGGATCATACTATTCCCAATTTGACTGACTATCTTAAATTCTGCCTTGATATATGCTGTCCAAAACAGATAATTTTCAAAAGAATGGACTGTTTCTCTTCCCCTCATCTCAAAAAGCTTCGAAGAGAAAAAGAGTAGCAGTATGGGACGAAGAATAAATATGATCTTAGGAAGATAAACATCCAAATTAAATCTGAAATCAGGAGGCTAAACAATATTTATAATCAAACAATACTATCTTGTAAAACTTCAGAAAACATGTGGAAGCTTTTCAGAGAAATAACAGGTTGTGGTAAGCACAGTAGTTGTGTCTCTTCTATTGGTGTAAACACTCTCAATAAATCTTTTATCTGCCCTCCAAATATCCATTTCGCCTTCAATTTAACTAATAACACGACCAGTGACTTTCATAGTTTCAATACTTCTGATGTTCTTAAATGTTTAAAATCTCTTAAACTTTCCCAGAATCTAGGCCCTGATGGTATACCTGCCATTGTTCTAGGGAAATGTGCTGATATTTTAAGTAACAAACATTTTCAATACTTCGTTTTCTAATAATGTTGTACCTTCTCTGTGGAAAGATATTAAAATCATCCCTGTACCCAAGTCTGGTTCTGGAAATAGTGTTAAGTTTAGACCTATTGCCATTACCTCTCCTTTTTTGAATCTAATGGAGAAACTATTGTCACAAAAACTTGTTCCCTCCCTAAGCTTCTCAAATGATCCAAAGCAGTTTGCTTACAAATAGAGCAGAAGTACTTTAGACGCTGCTTCTGTGTTTTATCACAACACTGTATCCTCCTTAAACAAAGGGGCCAAGTATGTCCGTTGTACGTTCCTGGATTACACATCTGCTTTCGACTCTGTATCTAGAGGCCTTTTGTTAAACAAGCTTAGCCTCACACAAACTGAGTCCTGGGCTATTAACTGGCTACACTCTTGCTTCTCCAATAGGATGCAGTACATGGTATGCAATGTTAAGATAAGGGAAAAACCTCCAGACATACTTGTGTTTCGAGAGGAGTTTTTCGTAACAAGTGATGGTTTGTTGACATTCTTACTCTCAGCAGGCTTATTGAATACAAAGTATTCTTCCCCATCATTAGTCTCAACCCTGCGAAATTTGTTCATCGTGGTGAGGTTACTACGTTTGGGGGGAAATTTCTTAAAACAACTTGCAGAAGTTCTATCTATTTTAATATCTTTCGATGAGGCTTTATTTACAGGGGTACTGATATCTAAATCAGTTCCTAGTTCCATTGGCAAGCGTGGTTGTTGTGTAGTTTGCTGAATGCTAGTTCAATGTTCAATGATGACTGCTGTGGTCAATAATTTTGGGGAATTATTTACCGCTACGGCATATTAAAATGTGAAGGCGATGAAAATAAAGTATATATTTATATATATGTATATAAAGGGTCAAGTTGCTGAATATATGATTGAGAAAGACATTTTTCGTAGCATGGATGCGAGTAGAATTTTCCACTGGTTGTTGGCCAACGACTTGTGAGAGGGCTTAGGTATTGTCCAGGTACCAAAACCGCGTCAGTTGGTTATCTGCAAAGATCCCGAGTTTTTCATTTTAAGAGTGGTCCAAAGTCCATTAGGAAAGCGTCACGAGCTGCGTTCTCGTGTTTTCTGGTTACCAAAATAGTTTTGTACGTTATTCGATTCCTCTGTATCCCATGTGCATTATAGGTTTTCAGTTGTTGTTTTCCAGCCCACCTCCTCACGGTGGACCTCCGTGTCCACCATTCCGGTTTTATATGTTTTTGGGGCTGTCTGGAGAGCTCAGTAACATTACAAATATGCGAATAAAAATCCAAATCAATGAGATGATAGAGTAACAATATATTATCAGAAATGCAGTAATGAGTTGTATTAATAAAAAGGTCACTTGGATATAATGTTAAAGTCCGCTGCTAAAAATTATTAATGTAATCCAAAGGAGCGTTCACTGTTGGAATTGCGTCTACTGGTAGACGCTGTGGACCGGTTGTATAGTTGTCTTCGGATAAGGATAATAGACTCCTGCAATAAATCCAAAGTATACAACACGGTATGAGTGGAGCAAATAAGCAGTAATGGCCAGTGAGAAGGCGAAGCTACTAACAGTATAGTGTATTTCGAATTGTACTCGGAAGTTATATATATTTAAACATGAATCGTTTTAAACAAAAGTCATGTACAATGTCCCTAATTTCAACAACAAACAAAAAGTGTACAATCATATTGTTGCGTACTCCACATATGTTGAACATTCACCCGTTTACTTTTGTGAGATCATCCCGCCGCATGAAAATAGTGAATAAAGCTTACCTGGGAGTATCCTTGAGCGCGTCTCTATATGAGAGCATTTCGGGATGATGACCGGAGTGCACCCACCCACAGCCGTACCGGTTCATTTATAGAGTAACTGTCGATAAGCTGTAAGTGCCGCACAAAAAGTACTCATATAGAAATGTTTATGTTTTTAATGTACATTTCGAATTTAAAGCCTAATAGTAGATGATTCGCTGTTTAAAAACTGTGTTGGAGATAGTGTAAAGATCAAATCCCGTAAACATTGATAGTCTCGGTACAGTATTTATATCTTAGGTACCTTTTTTCTAAAATCTACCTCAACTTTAATGCTTAAAACTTTTGACCCAAAACCCATCTCACGCTGTGACTCAAAATACTCAATTGTACGAAGTCACGGGACCCACCAATTATGGTTATCTACGAGAATTTTTTTCAATGTCTCGCAACTTATACATTGATTAGATACTTTGTGTTGATAGGACTAACTAACTTTCCAGTGTTTTGTTTCAAAATGACACACTTCATTATAGTCGTATTTCATGCAACAACTGTTATCCGAAAATCCTCTCTATATCAGTTTATGCGTTGCTGTTTCGGCGGTAAAATGCTTGCCAACCACGCATGTGGTCTGGGGCTCGATCACCGGCTGACACACTCGCATACCCCGCTAAGCCCCTAGTAAGGCAGGTAAAGGAGGAAAGTTGGAGGTGTGAGGCTAGCAACTTCACCACGTAAAAATAAAACCACACCTACTGAAATTTCAAACCCCTAGCTTAAGGCCCTGTCTCCCACTCGGAACGTAAAGGAATAAAAAACGATTTCAACAAATGAAAAGTTCAATGCAACTGAGTTTTCTAGTCAGAAGCGGCTATTAAACATACACAGATTTCATGTTATCCTTATATTTCTCATACAGAACATTCCCTTATCTTTTTTGTGTATTATTGCAGAGTTGACCAAATGGCTTGTCAAATTGATCGATGAATTAGATGAAAACGCATCAATAGAACCAATTTTTGCATTAATAGCTGCAATTTATTCCGTATTACATGCTAGCTGTGCAAAAAATGGAAAGAATGGAGCACTCATCTCTCTAACTGAAGTTGTAATGCACATCATAAATTTATTGGCAAAGTTCGATAAAATGTATAATAATAACATACCGTTTAATGTTTTTTATCCTGCATTGAAAGAAGCATGTGCATTCTTACGATCTCAAACAATCGATGATGATATGGACGTTGAATTCGGTGTTGAAAGTGGGAATGCATGCACTATTGCTAAAAGTGATTTCTGTTTGGAAACATTTCTCAGATTAATCTCAAGTAAGCAATCTTGTGTGATGCTTAAGGCTTATTTCATTATATTAATCGAAGAATATGATGTGACATATTTGTCAATATGAAAATATATTGTCGTAAAATGTCCTACCTCATATAACCACTTCATTAATTCAAGTTTAACCATGGACTACTGATAATTGATATCAGTTAGACAATCATTGCCTCAGGTGTGAGGCTAGCAACCCCACCCTGTACACAAAATTGCTACAGAAACTTCAGAACGATGAACCTCTTCGCGCCAAAAGAAAAAGTCTGTGTGGGGACATGGAACGTCCGCACTATGTACGAGACCGGCAAAGCTGCCCAGATCGCCAACGAGATGAAAAGATACGGAATCTAAGTGCTGGGAATATGTGAAAGCAGATGGAACGGGAATGGACTCACCAAATTGTCAACGGGTGAATCAGCGACCTACTCCGGTCACCCAGAAGATAACCACACGCACACCGAGGGCGTGGCTATCATGATGTCACCAACGGCAACGAAAGCCCTGATGCAATGGGAAGAGGTCTCGTCCAGGATAATGACCGCCAGATTCAACTCCAAAGGAAGGAAAGTGTCAATCACACAATGTTATGCACCCACAAACAACGCCGACCTAGAAAAGAAAGAAGAATTCTACAAACAACTACAGGCAACAATGGACAATACTCCAGCTGGAGACATGAAAATACTAATGGGAGACATGAACGCCAAACTGGGCCCAGAAAGCACTGGAAGAGAACTCACCATGGGTAGAGAAGCTCTTGGAGAAATGAATGAAAATGGAGAACTATTCGCCGACTTCTGCGCCTTCAACGAACTAGTGATTGGTGGCAGTGTATACAAGCACAAAGATATCCACAAGGCTACATATGTGTCACCAGACGGGCAAACCAAAAACCAAATCCACTTCATCTCAATCTCAAGTAAATCGAGGCGCAGCCTAATGGACACAAAAGCAAGAAGAGGAGCAGACGTTGTCTCAGACCACTATCTCGTACAAGGGACAGTCCAAACCAAGTTAAAAGCTTTCAGGGAATCAGGAGCTGCAGTTACGCCACAAGCCAAGTTCAATACTCAAAAGCTGAAGGACCAGGCTACAAAGGACATCTTCATTGCAAACATAAGGGAAAAAGCCGAGACACAAATCAACACCAGCGAAAAGGTCAGCGTCGAAAAGCACTGGAACAACTTGAGAACGATGTGGAGTCAAACCTGCATGGAAGTTCTAGGCAGGAAGAAGAGACAGGACAAACAGTGGCTCACTACGGACACTTGGAAACTAATAGAAGAGAGAAGGACAGTGAAACAAGAGATTATACAGTGCACTGACGAGCAACAAAAACAGGAGCTGAATGCAAGCTACAATACACTGAACAAAAGAGTGAAGAAGAGTGCCAGGGAAAACAAAAGAAAATATCATGAAACCATAGCAAACGAAGCAGAACAAGCTGCAGGCAAAGGAGACCTCACCGCACCCTACCAAACAACTAGGCACTTTTCGGGCAAAAGTTCGACACAGATTAAGCCAATAAAGGACGACAATGGAAAGTCAATCACCAAAGAGGTAGAGCAAAGGAAGCACTGGGCTGAACACTTCGAAAGATTTCTAAATCGACCGCCACCTACAACACGCCCAACAATACCAACAACGGAAGCAGAACTACCAGTGAACATTGACCCCCCGACGAGAACAGAAGTCCTGAAGGCCATAAACATGCTAACAACTATAAAAGCAACAGGACCAGAAGCATTAATAATGGACCCAGAGATATCAACGGACTCGATGACACCACTACTGGAGAAGGTGTGGAAATTAGGGCAAGGTACCTGCGGACTGGAAGAAAGGCTACTTATTTAAACTGCCAAAGGAAGCAGACTTAAGTCAATGCTAGAACTGGAGCAGCATTATGCTCCTGTCTATCCCAACATCTATCTACCATATTGGATGGTACTACCATGGGTTGAGTAGGATTGAGGTTAGTCGTTGAGTGTTGGATAATGAGCGAAAGTCAATCGATAACGTTGTAAAGCTACGTCGATCAAGATGACCAGGACATGTCCTACGCATTCCTAACCTACACCTCCCTCCACGAAGAATGTTAACTGGGATAAGATCAAATTAGAAAAGAGCTCATGGTGGTCAAACAACAACTTGGAATCAGCCCATGAAATCTTTGACAGTTAGTTTGTGTGTAGACTGGTTGGATGAGATCCTCTGGATTCCAAGGAAAAAATTGGTGGAGACAGCTGGTGATATAGCTGAAAAATGTTCTGAATGACGAAGATACATTTATTCCTTGTGATCTACCATATCGATTAAGTCCTGTTGTGGTTGCATATTGCTATTCATGCTCCTTTACATTTCTGCTTATTGTCGTTCTTTTCAATCTTTCCTCTCTCTCTGCCTCGGTGGCACAGTGGTTAGGACTTTCGCCGACCATGCACATGGTTCGAACCACTGCTGATATCTATGGTTGGCCCGCAAGATTTCAGCTACCGATATCCATGCTGAAAATCCCATGTGTACCAAAAATACAGTGTGGAATCAAGCTGTAATCAAAAAAATTTGTCTTTTTTGTGGGCTATATGGAGTGTGGCACCTCGAATTGCTGCACATCTGTGCAAGGTTGTCTCTTGAAGGCATTACTTATTCTAGGTTTAGGAGTTATGTACAGTGTAAAAATACACGGAGTTCTTACTTTTCGCACTTTTTATTCATCACACGGCTGGTTATGTTGTGCGTCGGTAGTTCAGTGGTAGAATGCTCGTCAACCGTGCAAATGGTGCAGGGTTCGATTCCCTGCTGACACATCCCTAAAGCTTGCCTAGTTGGTAGTGAAGCTGCTAAAGAGGGAAGGTTGAATGTGAGACTAGCAACCCCGCTCTACGTAAAAAAAACACCACTGCTACTGAAACTTAAAGCCCTATATTCCACTCGGAAAGTAAATGAATAAAATAAGTAATAATAAATTATACTATATAATAGTTATCAGTTGTGTCTCCTTTATAGTCTGTATCTGAATTGTGATAAAACTACTACCACTACTGTTATTTTATTGTGTCATAATAATCAAATCCACTTCATTTACTTTGTTTTGTAGACTCTCGATTTCTATATGTCAAACGCTACAACTGTTCGGACTGTATGCAGAGTTATACGTAATATTGTCTCAAGATCACCAGAACTACGAGCTTCCTTTTTAAAATTAGAATGTGGAACAGGTGATACTGATCTAGAAAAATTATTGAATTTAGCCCTGAAAAACTCGTCTTGTTGTGATCAAGCTAAAGCAGCTCTTTGTGATCTGAAATGTACAGTTGAACTTCAAGAACCTTGGAAAGGATCTCTGAAGTCTGTTACGTAGGATAGATTGCATTTGATTTTGTTTTATAAACATTTTTAATGAAATACCAATGAATTACTGACTTGATTTGTAAATTTCTTTACTGTCAAAAAATAAATAAATTGTGACTAAGTTGTTTTTCACTGAACCTTAATCTACATTTCGCTTGAATTGTTTCGGTCAGGAACAATACAACTGTTTCTGTAGGTATTCGTTCTGTTAATGGTCACTTTTATTCATAACATCAGGAAGTGATCTCCTGCTGTTGCAAAGTTGCAGGCTCAATAATCATTCTTGTTGCTCGGGAGAAACAAATGAGAGAAAACCGGACAGACTTCAGACAAGGAATATGGTGAATGGATTATATCTTCGCACTTTGACAGATTCTGAAACATAGCTATATTTACCGGCGCCCAACAATTGCCATATATCTTCAGTTGAAGGTGGGATTCCACTCCGTCGAATGAGGCATACTATAACAACATTTGGTCATGAAGGGATTAGCGAGAAAGTTCATCGCACTTATCAAGGCACTCACCCTACTCGACCTCACGCCTTCGTGTAAGAGCTAACGGATAGTTATCATCTAAAGTGATTATTTTATGATTATTATTGTTCCCTTGGGTTCCTAGTGGAACATAGGGTTTCAACTGCACGTCTCCACTTGCTTCTGTCTTCCTTCTGTTGTACTTTTCACCTGCATCCATGTTAGTCCATACTCTTTCAACTCCTCTTCACATGATCTCCCCTATATCATCCTTGCACTGACGTATCACTCGCCGCTTCCACTCGAGCTATTGCGCGATGTAACCCAGCAGCCTCCTCAGCGAGTGTCCCATCCATCTCCACTTTCTTCTGCATATTTGTTGGCCGATTGATTCTTGTTTTGTTTTCTCCCATAGTTTCTTGTTGGTGGTTCTTTCCAGCCCGACCATCTGATCTTCAGCATAGAGCGAAGATAGATTGTTGGTGAAGGCCTGCAACAGCCCGTTGGAAATATTCTTTGTGACCCACCCGCCAAGTTTCTGATCCGTATAGAAGAACTGACTTTACGTTTGTATTGAAAATCCGACTGGGTTTTGTTGTTGATGCTGGCTGAGTGACGAAGATTCCCAGATTGGTTTCAGGTTGATGAATGCGTTTCTCACCTTCCCGATTCTCGATTTGACGTCGTCGTCCGTTCCTCCTGTAGTTGAGACAATCCTTCCTAGATAAGTGAATGAAGTAACCTCTTTCAAATCTCTCCCATTGATGGTGATTGGCTCTGGATGTTGCTGTTGTTGTTCTTGGTGGTGGCTGGTTATTTTCATAACCTCCGTCTTGTCTATGTTCACCTGGAGTCCTGTCTTCACCGGCTGCTTCTTTGACCAGTTTGTCAGTTTTCGATTTTGTGTGACATCAAACATAAGTCATCCAACCCGCGGAATCCAGGTCTTTAAGGTTCTTCACGTCGGTCCAGGATATCACTGTCTTCTCGTTTCTCACTGTCTGACGCATAATCCAGTCCGCCACAATTACGAACATCATTGGTGATAGTTATTAAGCACCCTTGTCTGACTCCTGTGTTTACTCCAAACGCCTCGCCGAGTGAGTTTTCCGTTGTGGATCACTTGACATGTGCCGTTGTCGTACTGCTGTTGAATAAGGTTGATGAATATTTGGGGTACGCCGTAGTACTCGAGTAATTTCCAAATTACTTCACGATCAACGCTGTCGAAGGCCTTCTCAAAGTCTATAAAGTTGAGGTACAGGTTTGATTGTCATTCCATGCTTTCTTCGATGATGATGCGTAGAGTTGCAATTTGGTTAGAACATGATTCGCCTTTCCTGAATCCAACTTGTTCTGGTCAGAGTTTTATATCCAGTGCATCCTTTAATCTCTCCAGGATGATCCGACTCAGGATTTTACTTGGCGTCGACAGGAGCATGATTCCTCGCCAGTTCTTGCAGAGTGAGGCATAAGTCGCCCTTCTTTGGTAGTTTCACGAGGTAACCTTTCCTCCAGTCAGTAGGCACCTTTCCCTCCTTCCAGACCTTTTGCAATAATGGAGTCAGCATGTCTGCTGTAGTCTCTGGGTCTGCTTTCAGTGCTTTAGGGGGTATTCCATCTGGTCCGGCTGCTTTCCCAGCTTTCAGAAGCTTGATTGCATTCAAGACTTCAGCTCTCGTTGGAGGGTTGTGATATGTATCCACATATATATATTTATGTGTGTGTGTGCATGTTGGTCTCTCTTTCTGTTTGCTCGGTTAGTCTGTGACCACTTCACATGTATGGACTTGTCTCCTTTAACAATGTGTATTCTCCTTATATTATATTATATATAATATGAGTGTTTGTTGACAGTCCGTTGCTTGGTGACATTTATCCATATATGTTTGTTGGCATGTCTGCTATATTCGCTATGTATAATTGGATCGACACTCCATTATAATTAGCCATTCATGTTAAGACTGTCTAATGATTTTTCCCACGCTTCTCTGAATTATTGATATATATTCGCATTCACAATTTGTGTGAACTACTTTACTTTACAACTACTTGACTTGCTTACCACTTTGGTGTGAGACCATTTATTTTCGTCTCCTTGTGTTTGGACAATAGAAGTATCATCGCAAACCTAGTGGTCTTCTGATTTCCGCCTTCTCGCGTCAGGACTATTAATTTCTCGACCAGTCCATAACAATAATTTAGCGACGAGTACATAACAATTTGGCGACGGGGAAAACTAGTACATAACAATTTGGCGACGGGAAAAACTACTATTAACCACTCAGCAGCAGCAACATAACAATTTACTATGGATTATTCTAAATTGGAATTATTGTTTGAACAACAATTGAAATTAATGGAAATGTTCGTCAACCAACAGACTGGTCCAGCTTCACCTTCAAGCAATCCCAATCATACCATGCTACCATCTGTCGACGGAATTGTGAACAGCATTTCACAGTTCAATTATGACCCAGAGGCTAATGTCACTTTTGACACATGGTATCAACGTTATGAGGATTTATTCACTGTTGATCTCGCCTCACAAGACGATGCCTGGAAGGTGCGAGTTTTGCTACGTAAATTGGGTCCGGCAGAATATGAACGGTACTGCAACCTAATTTTACCACAGAAACCACGTGACAATTGTTTCGATGATACAATAAAGTTGCTGCGTGAACATTTCGGAGACCACTCCTCATTATTCAGTATACGTTATCGTTGCCTCAAGCTGGCAATGAATGAAAATGATGATTTTCTTACTCACGTTGGCACAGTCAACCGAGAATGTGAGAGATTTCGACTCAGGTCCTTAACAGATGATCAGTTCAAAGCCTTGATTCTCATATGCAGTCTTCAATCTCCTCGTTTCACAGATATCCGAACTCGACTGCTCAATCAGCTAGAACAAAATCCCAAGTTAACATTACATGACATAGCTGATGAATATCAACGGTTGATTAATCTGCAGAAAGACACACACCTGGTCGAATCAACACCTTCCAGAAGCTCTGATATTCGTGCATTACGAAAGAGCAAAAATCTCTCATCATCATACTCCTGACCCACCTACTTCTCCTAATGTTCCGCGGAAATCTACACATACTCGTCCAACTTCACAAAATACTGCAAAGAAGACCCCACCATCACCATGCTGGCATTGTGGCGCGTGGCACTTTGTAAAGTCTTGTCCATACAAAAATCATCGTTGCAGCAAGTGCAAGATCATCGGTCACAAAAATGGGTTTTGTCAGCCACGCCAACTCAGATATCATAATCCAGCAAAAGCTCAACAAAATGTCGGTCCTAAATCTCCAAAAAGATCACTGAGTCTACGTGCAACCTGTCAAGTCACAACACCAGCTATGCGGAAATATATTGACCTTCAGATGAATGGTCATGATACTCGTCTGCAGCTAGATACTGCCTCTGGTATTACTGTTATATCAGAGAAACTTTGGAATTATATTGGCAGACCACCTATCACCAATACTTCCCAGTCTCTTCTCAGCGCCTGTGGTGGGCGGCTCAAACTAATTGGTGAACTCAAATGTTCTGTTTCCTTCCGCAATACCAAATTCACAGGAATTTGTTACGTCACAAAGAATGATTTAAATGTTTTGGGACTTGATTGGTTCGACCGTTTGCATCTGGCTGATGTCCCACTAAATTCTCTACGCAATACAGTGAAGAAGCATAAAATGCTAGACAATTCCGGACGGAGCCGAAGCCGCAAACCCAACAATCAGGCGAAACGACAGGCGTCAACAACAAGCCCAAAGGTCCCAGATAAACCCCCAGGTAAACATCCTACTAATCATTCATCTTCTCAAAAGGGGAGGTGATATGTATCCACATATATATATTTATGTGTGTGTGTGCATGTTGGTCTCTCTTTCTGTTTGCTCGGTTAGTCTGTGACCACTTCACTTGTATGAACTTGTCTCCTTTAATAATGTGTATTCTCCTTATATTATATTATATATAATATGAGTGTTTGTTGACAGTCCGTTGCTTGGTGACATATATCCATATATGTTTGTTGGCATGTCTGCTATATTCGCTATGTATAATTGGATCGACACTCCATTATAATTAGCCATTCATGTTAAGACTGTCTAATGATTTTTCCCACGCTTGTCTGAATTATTGATATATATTCGCATTCACAATTTGTGTGAACTACTTTACTTTACAACTACTTGACTTGCTTACCACTTTGGTGTGAGACCATTTATTTTCGTCTCCTTGTGTTTGGACAATAGAAGTATCATCGCAAACCTAGTGGTCTTCTGATTTCCGCCTTCTCGCGTCAGGACTATTAATTTCTCGACCAGTCCATAACAATAATTTAGCGACGAGTACATAACAGGTTGGTGTCGACTTGGAGTTGTGTACGTGGTATTGTTGGTATTTCTGGATGGGTTGCAGGTGGTGGTCGGTTCAGTAGTCCTTTGAAGGGATCCGCCCATTGTTTAATCTGTTTTTCTTCCTTGGTAATTGGGTTCCCTTGGCTGTCTTTTATAGGTTTCATTCGTGTTGATCTCCTTCTAGATGGAGACTTGCTTATCTGATATAATGAACTCAGATCAATATTTCCAGCTGCCTTCCCAGGTTCAGTGGCCACATTATCCTAGAATTGTATCTTGTCCTTCCTAGCACTCTTCTTCACTTCTTCGTCAAGTGCTGTGTAAGTTGAACTCAGCGTCTCTTTCTCTTGTCCGTCTTTGCATTGAATCATTTTCTCTTTCA